GTGACAGCTGACAGCGGCCCGCCCGAAAGTTTCCCCGCCGGTAAAATGGCGCCGCGATGGGATAAACTTTGGGGGGCGGGAGGCGGGGGAGCGTGTGGCGGCGGGGCGCGGGGGGCGGTGGTGGGTCACATCACCCGCAGCCCCGGGGGGATCGTCTCTCCTGGATCGCAGCCCGTTGGGACCGTCCGGGGATCTCCCGCCGCGGGGATCCGCCCAGCCCCGCCCCGGGGAGATCGGCGAGGATCCGCTCCGCTTGGAGCGGGATCCCCTTAGAGCGGGATCCGCTTGGAGCGGGATCCGCTTGGTGCTGGATCACGTGCGGTCTGCCTGGAGTGGGATCCGCTTGGTGCCGGGGCTCGGGCAGTGGGTGCCGGGGTGTGGGATTGACCTGGCAGGGACAAGTGTGCCGCCAGCTCTGGGGATACCCGCTGGATTCCTGGGGATCCGCTCAGAGCGGGGTAAACTTGGGATGTGGATTGATGAGGTGTGGATCTGTACCGGGATGTGGGATGTGGGTGCTGCCACCTCAGGGCTGCGTTGCCAGGAGGGTGTCGGGTCCTCTCCCGGCTGTGTGGAGATCCCTGCTGGATCCCTGCTGATGCTCAGCCAGTGGGTGATGGTGCTGAGAGCAGCCTCACAGAGGGATCTGCAGAGTGCTAGGGAACTCCAGGCTGGATCCCGCTGCGACCTGGGGGGATCCATTTGGGATCTACTCCAGAGGGACTCACCGAGTGGCAGGCAGGATCCCACCACAGCCCTGCCTGGAGGCGCTGATCCAGCTCCCCAAACCCACCGAGGTCAGGGGGATCCCTGCTGCCCGCTGCTGTCTCTCCCGCAGGCTCCGTTGGGACCCGAGGGCTGGCTGGGGGAGCCGCCGCCGTGCCAGGACCCGGCCAGCCAGGAGGCCATGCTGCGGGTGCTGGACGTGGGGCTGGAGCGGTGCCTGGCGCTGCACTCGGCTGTGCAGTGCATCCCCGTGCCCCGGCACAGGTAGGGACACCGGCACGGCCACCWCCCTCCCGCCTGTGCTGGCCTCACTGCAGGAGCTGGGATTTTTTCCTGCTGGCTGCAGGAGGACTTTGGCCGCAGTTGGCCACTCTGGGATCCCCAGCAGTGAGCGGATGTCCCGCTGTGGCWGCTCCAGGGACTCCCAGCTGGAAGCATCACCGTGTTACCCATTTGCAAAATGCTTTTGGGTGCTCTTGACCTCTTGCTTTTTTTCTTAGTTTAAATCTTTTGTAGTTTTTTTCCCACCTCAAGGAACTGTTGGGCCCTGTCTGAGCCATCCCTTCATATCTGTGAGGAATGCAAGAGCCAGTGCCCCCCAGTGCAGTGCTGCCCATGGGCGTGGAGGGTTCCCCTTGGCATGGCACAGGCCGTGGCATTTTGGCTGCCCACCTACACCTCTGCCTGCACTGCTGCCTTTACCATGCCCAGATTCCAGCTGGCTGCTGGGATGATCCCTGCAGGGGTCAGCAGCATTTTGGGGTGCTGCAGGCTGTGGGACACCTGGGGGTGCCTTTCCACCTGGTGATGTCCCCAGCATGGTGGGGTCACTGATGCTCTGTGTCACCACACAAACCACCCTGGGCTGGGTGCAGGCCACCGTGGGTGGRAGGTCCTGGCACCTCAGCGGGGAAGGAGGGTGATAGAGGGTCCCAGGGGGCCTGTCCATCCTGACACAGCCCCCTCTGCTCTCTCTGGCAGGAAGCTCTCAGGCAAGGCAGGCATCGACGAGGTGATGGCGGCTGCGGTGCTCACCAGCCTCTCCGCCAGCCCGCTGGTGCTCGGCCACATGCCGGCCACTCATGGCCCAGGTAAGCATGTCCCTGTTCCCCCCATCCCTGGACATGTCCCATGGCAGAACCTGACCTTCCTCTTCTTCTTCCTCACCAGAGCCGGGCAGTGAGGTCTGGAAGGAGGTTCCTGCCATGTCCTCCAGCTGCAGCAGCAGCAGCAACACCAGCGGGGAYTGGAGCTGGGACCCCTCCAGTGACCGATCCACCCCCTCCACCCCCTCACCCCCCCTCTCCAGCCACGTCCCCAGCACCTTCCTGCCCGGCCCGCTGCCAGATGAGGGCCCCGATGAGCCCGACAGCACCCACTTTGTCTTTGGAGAGCCCACCCCACGGAAGAGGAAGGTGGGAGGAAGCTGGGGATGGTGATGGGGGTGCATTTTGGCTTGGGGAATAGAAATAGTGRGCGATGAAGAGGAGAATGAAGTTGGGGATGAGAATGGGGATTTGGCTGGTGATGGGGATGAGGTTGGGAATGGGGATAGTGATGATAGGAGGATGAGGAGGATGACATTTGGGATGAGAATGAAGAGGTGGAGGAGGTGGGAGATAGGAATGAGTTTGGGGATGAGGATGATGGGGGGTGAGGTTGGGGATAACAGTGAAGTGTTGGGGCTGGGATGACAGTGTGGCTGGAGATGGGGTTGGGGATGAGGATGATGATGGGGATGGGGCTGCCAGCCTGACGCCTCCCTCCTGCAGAACTCCACCAAGGTGATGTTCAAGTGCTTGTGGAAGAGCTGTGGCAAAGTCCTCAGCAGCTCCTCAGGGATGCAGAAGCACATCCGAACTGTGCACCTTGGGTRAGCATGTGGGGTCCCCCTGGACACCCCCAGACCCCCTAGTACCCCCTGCAGGGTTCTCCCATGCCAGGGAAGGGTGTCTCATCCAGCCTCTGCTCTCCYTGCAGCCGGAAAGCCGACCTGGAGCAGAGTGATGGCGAGGAGGATTTCTACTACACGGAGCTGGACGTGGACGTGGACGCGCTGACCGACGGGCTGTCCAGCCTCACTCCGGTCTCTCCCACCTCCTCGGTGCCTCCYGCCTTTCCCGGCCCTGAGGCTCCTCCCCCACCGGCGCTGCCGATCCCCGACCTGGCCCTGGCCTCCCCCTGCAGCCCCCCMGCCCCCGCCGGCCGCTGCCACATCCA